CACACACACACACACACACACACTCACAGAGCCAGGACTTGGACAGAATTCCAGTTCAGCAGTTCCATTTATTGAAACCGATCTCATAATCCTCCTAATCCCCCTGCATTTTAATCTAAGATGTATGAATCACTTGAGAACATTATGTATGAGCAGTTATCTGATTGATCACTCGACTCAGGAAGAATTGTGGTAAGAAATGCATTTTTCATGCTGTCGTGAGTTTAAGTATATTTTGCATGTGCCGTAAAGTGCATTTCTCCAGACGTGGGCATACTGTGTCATTATAGACTGGCTGTGCCAAAATAAATTCCACAATCCAACACCCCTAATCATTTTCAGATCAGCCAATAGGGTGTGTCCATGCGAATCCCAAAGCAGAAGAAATAAGCAGGAGCCTGGTTCACTTCCACACATGACACACAGGATGGAGGAAGGATGCATGCTGTAATCAGAGAATTAGTGAAGTGTGCCCAGCCGTGGGCCTGTGTGCGTGTGAGTGCCATAAATCAAGCGGAGACACGTACTGCTCCTCACACCACTTTTACAGTGTGTTTAATGGGCTCTTTACTGCAGGGAAGCAGTCGATCAGCACTTAGCAACCCGAATTTACTCAAGCCCAAACAAAAAGGGTTTCCATGGGTAGGAAGCGAAAAGGATTTAAAACTGTAAGTGAGGGAGATCTGGAGGAACTCTACAGGGATGAGACCAAGACAGCTCTATAAAACAATACTCTGCAGAAAAGCATTTAAATATCTCTGCAGCTTAGCTTTAAAATATATCATAAAGTAGGTTTTATAAAATGCAGTAATTATATGGTATATACTGTAAATAATTGTATTATATTAAATTGCTATATTTTATATGAATTTGAGATTAATGCTGTATTGAAATTGCATAAGAAATTGTATATTTAATTTGAAGTTTAAATTTGTAATACAGTTTAATAAAATTTGTAATTAATTGTTTTCTTTTTCTTATTTGACCTTTCAATCGTTCATAAAAGCATGTTTTGTTCCTTTTCAGGTTATTTTAAGAAGTTCCCAGCACCTGGTGGACAGAGAGTTTGCAGAACAATACAACACGTGTTGGTGTAGGAGGGGGAACCTTTAGGGAGCGTAGAGAAAATGCTGACAGAGCGTTTGACAGATAGGAATTCATAAGCTTCAGTTTGGGCTGTGTCAGTTTGAAATCAAGCCTATTTATGAAAACACAACTGGGCCTTTCTGAAATTCTCTTTGGTCACCCTGAAAGTGTGTTGCAATAAAACAATATTTTTGGTCACATTATGGAGTGTGATTTTCTTGATTTTAATTTCGAGATGCATCAATATTTTTTCTCCACAACCTGTGTTGTGTGTGTGTTCTGTGTTTCTTCTGGGTATTTCGTAAATACATTGAGTTTCTGCTGCTTGTGTTTCTCTTGCAGGATGATAAAGATCTGGTGCATGAGTTTGTGATGGCTGAAGGACTCACATGTCTTATTAAAGTGGGAGCTGAGGCTGACCAAAACTACCAGAACTACATCCTCAGAGGTACCACATCACCACACATGAATATATGTGATTAATTATCTACCAAACATATCAAACAAGCACTTTAGATGTTCAAAAGTTTGGGGTCAATGATTTAAAAAAAATAATAATTAATTAATACTTTTATTCAGCAAAGATGCATTAAACTGATTAAAAGTGACAGTAAATTGTCAAATAAATACAGTTTTAAAAAATTTTGATTCATCAAAAAATCCTGGTTAAAAAAAAGCATTACAGTTTCCACAAAAATATTAAGAAGCACAACTGTTTTCAACATTAAAAATAATAAAAAATGTTTCTTGAGCTCCAAATCAGATTAGAATGATGTCTGATGGATCATGTGACACTGAAGACTGCAATGGCTGCTGAAAATTCAGCATTGCTCCATCACAAGAATAAATTACATTTTAAAATATATTAAAATGGAAATCATTTTAAATTGTAATAATATTTCACATTGTTTTACTGTATTATTGAACATAAGAGACTTTCAACCCCCCCAAAAAAAGTACAGACCCCAAACTTTTGTTGATACAATCTAATATAAGAAAATGTCAAACAGGGACTTCCTTGATCATTAACGAGTACAAGTTCAAATGAACTGCTAAATCAGAATTTTGAATAGATTTACTGAAATGGACAGTTTCAGCTGATATATGGAAATGAAGTAAATTAACCAACTGTAACGCCAAGCCAGCAGAGGGAGCCCTCGCCTGAGTACTGACCGTGCTCCACTCCCTCTGCTTCCTCTACTTCCAAAAGCAGGAAGCTCAGTTCCAGGTATGTTGGCCCTTTCAAGATACTAAGACAGATCAAAGATGTAACATACCGATTGGAGCTTCCTGCTAACTATCGTATCTCTCCCTCTTTCCATGTGTCCCTCCTGGATTCTAACCAAACTCCAGCGTCTCTGTTACACCAACATTTTGAATTATATTTATTGATTTAATAATCTCTGTTAAGACAGAGATGGCAAGTCTCAGAACAAGGAAAGATTGTGAAATTAGTCTAAAAACTGCACTAAAATAATTATACTATTAATATTATATAACAATTGTGAATATATTGTTAAAATTCAGTATATATCTCCAACTTAATTTATAGCATCAGCAGAATTGTAAGTTTAAAACAGTAATAAAATGAATGGATTTAAAATGATAATTGTAAATGCTTTTAACTATATGGTTTAGAATTAGTGTTCACTGAAATGTTTGTTGTGACTGTCTTTACATTATACCACATTATAACTCCCAGCGATGTGACTACAAACCACTAACACTATACCACAGTACCAAGCACCTGTACATCCAAACCACATCACAAGGAGTTAAATTACTACAACACAATAAAAGTTAGGCACCAAACATTTTCCACCCAGCACTATTAATTGGCAATAAAGCATCAGAATGTCTTCTTTTCCTCAGAGGGAGGGGTGCCAGGGGGGTTGTTGAAATTCGGTTTACGATCTGCAACATCCTGCCAGGCCTTTTTATTGGGCGGTAAAGCATGTGGGCCCTGCCCTCTCGCAGTCGGCTGTGAAATACGGATTACCTCTCACGGAGGGTTTCCAGCCCCCTTTAGACCTCCCCATTGGCCTCCAACCTCGTCCCCAGGCAGAGGAAGCTCTTAGCGGCCTGTTAACATGCCTGACCTTTCACCTCACATGCATAGGGAGAATAAATTAGCCAGGGCAACCAGGAGCAACGCGTTTGTTAATGGCAATTATTGGGGTCAATGAACGGTGTGCGTGATGGTGCATTTCTGTGCTTGTTTTGTTTGCGAATGCTCACACGAGTGGTTACATCTGGGCATCTGAAGAATATTTGTGTGGCATACTCGTATGTTTAAGCTTGAGGGTATCAGCTTCTCTTTTTAAAAGCTTGTTTGTGCATGTGGGTGGCGGGGCGTCTGTGTGTATACAAATGTGTATACAAATACACAAAAGCAGAACATTACATTAGAGCCATATGACGTACTGTACTTACTGGATGCATTGTTAGGAATCTAGTGTAAGCTGCTCTGGCCTGTTATTATTTTTATTCCTCACTTTGAATAGCTATAACTTTTTATCGCTATAGTAAAAAAAATCCCAGAACTTTGAATGCATAAAAGGTTCTGTGGCTAGTTGGATGTTGTGTAATTATGGGATTGATGGGATGTATGGTCACCCAGCAATTATTCAAAATTTCAGCTCCACTATGACATTTTTAATGTAAAGACTTCACATGTAAGTCTTTTTCCTTGTGGGAAACAAATGTGCCTCAATGACCTGTAAGTTTCACCTTTTTTAAAGGGTATTTTATATTTTTATCAAGAGTGGATCTTAGTTTTTATGAATGTCATTGTTGGAAGTGATTTTTATAAGTGCAAAATGAAAATAGACTTGTTGAGTTTCTGTGTAATGATTGATAGTGAACAAGGAATATGAAGCGACAAGTATCCATGTGGAACTGCAATATTACAGACAGAAATCAACCACATAGTTCATATTCAATCAGCTATATCAGTCAATTTTATATGTAATGAACAGATAAATCAATAAATCCATTTTATCTATATATATTATTTATGTGTATTATATGTAACAGTAAAAAGTTCAAAAGTTTGAGGTCTGCTTTTAAAGATGTAATTTTATTTTATTTTTTTTAAGTCTTTCAGGCTCACCAAGGATTAATTTTATTGTAATAGAGTAAACATGGTAATACTGTGCAATGTTATTGCACTTTAAAATAACTGTTTTCTATTTAAATATATTTTAAAATGTAATTTATTCCTGTGATGGCAAAGCTGAATTTTCAGAAGACATTACTCCAGTTTCAGGGTCATATGTTCCTTCATAAATCATTGCAAGATGATGATTTGGTTCTTAATAAGAGTAAACATCTCTTATCATTATTAATGTTAAAAACAGTCATGCTGCTTTATATTTTTGTGGAAACCATGATACTTTTTTTCAGGATTCCTAGATGAACAGAAATTTCAAAAGAACAGCATTTATTCAGAAATAGAAATGTTTTGTGATATTGTAAATGTGCAATCTTGCTGAATAAAGCAAGCGTAGCATTAGTTCTGGCAGGTCATGTGAGTCAAGTTTGCATCAGCTGACTCTCAGCTGATCCACGTCTACCTATAGGAATACGATGTCTATTACAGCATTACTACATAAGGTTTATTCAGTATTATTCAGCAGCTTTATCGCTTGCTCATGAGCTAATTACCCTCCTCCATCCCCAGCTCAATCCTTGCATCGCAGTCAGGACTTGGCTTTCTGATATTCCTTGTCTTCCCAAATCAGACTCCTTTTATCTTGAATGATGCTGTTACACTAAAATGTCATTTAGAACATTGATGATATATTTTTGTTCTGTTTGGTTTACGCTAATTCATTCATGACAGGCGCTGCAGGGATGGGCAGAGAGTTTTTACCCAGAACAGAACCACACCGCCAATCCAAACTCTATGCTAAGTGTTAATCGTTTTGACGATAGTGGGCCTGACAGAAAAGGTTTTTTTTTTTTTCAGAAAACGTTTTTTGACCCCAAACTTTTAAATGGTTGTTTATGTTTTTTGATTGTTTGTTGGAGCAAAAAGCTACATGAATTCAGTCTTCATGCTCTGTGGGAGAGCTCAAAGTGATTTCTTTACTGGCCGCTGTTTGTTTATAGTCAAAGCAGTTGGATTTTCAGGGTCAGGGACTGACGACAGACACCTAAACACTAAATCCGCATGTTGAGACTTACTGGCAGTCTGTACGATTTACAGCCTGTCCGCAATGATAGCGGCTTTCTGTAACACAAAAACAAAGTTACACATTGCTCCCCATAGTATAATATTTCAGCTAGCCCAAAATGGAAATACATTTTGTGCATTTGAAGGAACGACTGGTACAACAGTTATGCTAGACCTTCAATACAGAACGTCAAAGTATTTTTCTCAATGTGAAAGTTCTTCAGGTGTTTTATATAGTGAAATAGGCAGTAACAGTGTGGCTATTTCTTTTTAGACCTCCACATTTTATTTCCTAGTTTCCACACCCATATGATTCATGCTGCTGCTATGCTTTTATGGACTCTCAGTAAGTCTCAGCACACCTTTGGGTAACAGGATGCCATAATTATCTCAAACTGAGCATGCATGCTTCTCTAAAGGTTTGTCATGCATCCTTATATTTACAGCTAAATTAGTTTCGATGTAAAACACACAGTTGAAATGAAGTTGCATTGTCCTGGTGGGACCTGATTTCAGTGTGTTTACTTGCAATCAGTGCTTGTGCCCTGGTTATAGGTTTGAACCCACATTGACACAAACAACTCAGTTGATTAAGACGCCAAATGCCAAACTCCCATCTGGGACAGCGAAACTGAAAGAGAATGAGAGATACAGTGAGAGAGATCAAGAGGATGATGATGATGACAGGCTGTCTAAATGATAGCTTCAATCCATTCCCGCTCATTTGCACTTTGTTTACTTCATTTGTCTCTGTTTTTGGTGTTTTTGTGCGAGTTGGTTGTTTGTTTGGATTGGATTGGTCTGGCTGTGGGAAAGAGCTGCTGTTGTAGCCTCTCTTCTCTGCAGCATGGCTGTAACCTGGCTCGCAGATGACCTAGTTTCTCATGACCAGAAGAAGAAACACACGCTGCGGTGTTCTTTTTTTCCCCCAATGTTCTTTTGGGGAACATGCACACATGTGTACTGCAGACCACACTGAAAATGTTTTTTTTTTTTCATCTAAATCTGGAAATAACCAAAATGGTTTCTAGACTGAAAGTTTTGGTGACATTTAACATGTTTAAAGCTCCACTCAGCAGTTTAGTTTATGTTGCACTGGCTGATAAGGCATTTTTGTCTAACACATACTGACACCTAGTGGTGTGGATGTAGCACACGAACACAAACGTTTTTTGGTTACTGATGCCATTGTAGAAATGCAGTATTTACAGTCAACCATTATTAATTAATTATATAAGCGAAAGTATCTAATAAACTTAAAGGGATAGGTC